CAACTTCAATGTGGTGGTGTACAGAGGCCAAATGCCAAAACAGTTATCTTTGTTCCAATATTTCTGGTCCTGACTGTAGTTTGCTTCAGTTATGGCAACTGGCTTCATTCTCTGGTTTCTTCTAAGTGGACAAAGCCAAATTCCCCATTAAAATATCTTAATAATCAACCCACAGGTAACTTTTTGTTGTTGTACCTATTAGTGGGTAGAGCAGTAGAGGTACACAGGAGATGTCTCTGGGAAGGCAGCCATACCACGAGGTGCAGGTATGGGCAACCCACAGACTTCAAGTGATCTCCAGAGTCCTCTAGAACTCACTGCTGAATTTTAGCAACAAATTATTGAATAATAGCAGCATGATTTCCTATTCATTTTTGCAGAAAACAAAAGAAATTTGCCTCTGATGGGATTAATGCACCTCTAAAAAAATCCTCCACCAAAATCCCCAAAGAAAAGGAATGTTGGCAGTCATTTTACATAATAGAAATTACCCAAAATATAAATTAATACATTACTTTTACTATTCTGTTTAGAATTCCATTCAGTGCTGTGAAAGAGGTCACATAAGCTAAATCACTTCCATTGTTAGAACAATACAAGGAAGCTTCTTGATAGCTCAAACGCTTATTTGGCACGAACCAGAATTCTGACCCATCAATATTCACTGCTGGCCCATGAATTCCTTCTTCATCTACGAAGAAAGAAAATCATACACAGAAGCTTATATTCAGTGCAACCTAACATGAACAGGCAACTCTTTCCATGTAATTTTGGAATCACTATGTAACAGGGAGGCTGAGTGAATCAAGGTTAAAAATACTGGGCTTAGAGTCACACGATTGAATTTGACTTAAATTCTCCATTAAGTCTGATTTCAAGCAAAGGCATTACAACTCCATCACACAACCATTTTGCTAAAATTAAGAAGTTTATTAACATTATTCAAGAATTAAACCTATCAATTTTCTTATTAATTACATATTTTAACCAACTCACCAGTGCAAGAAAGACTGGGTCACGCCTAAAACTGTTTTGTGAATGGTCATGTTGGGAAGGTAATTATTCTGCATTTCATTTACTTATGACTTAATGAGTCAACCAACTCATCCTACTATTATGGGCACTATTGTGGAGTAGGAGTAAATATGCTTCATGACATTCACATACAAATAACACAATTTATGTACTTGCATCAGATGTCATGACATGAGTGCATCATTTATGCAATGACATCATGACGTGTCAACATTTTGATATCAGAGAATCACAGAGTTGGAAGGAACCTTAGACATCATGTAGTCTAATCCTTTGCTTAATGAAGGTTTTACTACACATAGGCCTCACTTAACAACCATTCGTTCAGTGATTGTTTGAAGTTACGGCAGCACTGAATGAATGGTACTTATGCCTGGTCCCCAAAGTTATGGCCGTTGCAGCGCCCCCTCGGTCATGTGATCAAAACCTGGGTGCTTGGCAGCCCACCCGCAGTTACAGCAGCAGGGGCGCTTCAACTCCTCACACCTGCCTATCTCTCCCCATCTCTGCCTTGCACGGTGGCATTCCTTGGCAGTGGCACTGACATCGAAGTAGAGACCCAGGGCCTTCAGCAGTCTCAGTCGGCCGCTGCCACTCCCGGGCCTCTACTTCAGCCTCAGTGCCGCTAGTGTTGCCACTGCCACCAAGGAGTGCTGCCTCAAGCCCCATACCGCAGCCAGCCACCACAGTGCAAAGCCCCAGCCACCCCCACCACCTTGCACTTTGCAGGCCCTGCTGCCCCTTGCCATTTTCTTTTCCTGCTGCTGACGAGGCATGCCCAGCCTGGACCTATGTGAGGCAGCTGCTGGCCACGCCAGGCCTTCTTGAGTCTGTGTACGCCCTTCTCCAAATCACGCACTGCCTTCTTGCGACGCTTCGGAAGGCCTCAGAAGCACTGTGAGAAGCATCACAAGGCAGCAGTGCATGATTTGGAGAAGGGCGCACGCAGTCTCAGGAAGAAGGCCTGGCATGGCCAGCAACTTCCTTGCATAAGGCCAGGCTGGGCATGCCTTCGCAGCAGCAGGAGGAAGATGGCGAAGATCAGCTGGGGGTAGTAGGGGCGTCTGGGGCTTTTCGCTGGGGCTGCTAGCTGTGGTGCAGGGCTTGAGGTGGCACTCCTCCGTGGTGGTAGCTGAGACTGCTGAAGGCCCTGGGTCTCTACTTCACCTCTGTGCCACCAGTGCCACCACTGCTGAGCACTGCCACTTGCAGGGTGACCAAAAGAGCGGAGATGGGGGGGGGGAGTTCGGCGGGGAGGGGGGGGGGGTCACGAGGAAAAC